TTCATGCATGATGTGTATCATTTGAACCTTTTTTAACACTCGATAAACAACAAGGATAAAATAGAATACACACACTCTTTAATATAAAATGTAAAGACATATACTGCTCCTCTTTAATATAAAGACATACGCTGTTTTATACATACCCCTTCTTCTTCACTTAATTTCCACTCTCCTAAATTTCCAATATATCGTCGTAGCTATATATATATAATGGAAGTAAAAATAAAATTACTATAATTTAATAATATTATAAAGTTATTAAAAAATTCGATGTATTACTTACCCTTTTCACTGTTTCAACAATATGAGGATGTTTCTTTAACATTAAAGGATCAATTGAAAGAGACAAAATTTCATCCATCGCTTGTAAGCATTTGTCTGTATTGGCTCGATCCAGTCCAAGATTAGATTTTATTTGAGCATCTAATTGTAAGAGTTGAGCCTCTATACGAAGCCATCTAAAAAATAACATAATAAATGTAAATACTTAGTAAAAATCAACATTGACAACACAAATAAAGCTACACTTTAAGCTAAACATATCTCATCAAACCTCAATTTATATGTTTTGCGATGAACAGCTCCATCCTTTGTCAAAAGTCGTTTTTCATCTTCTGGAACGGGTACATTAAAATCTAGCAAATCTTTCACTTGATCTGGTAATATTTCGCCACTCTCTAATTGTGCTTTGAGTTTCATAGCTCTTGTAGCAGTTGACCAATCCCATTGTGCTCGAGCTTTTTCACTTTCGAAAGAGTCTGGCCTATTTGTACCTAACTTAATACCCACATATTCACCAGCAAATGTACGAGCCAAGAGAACTCGGTTTGATGTATCAGAAGACGTACCACTCGATACTACAGTTCCATCAAATAAGGAACTTTCATTATTTCTTTCTATAAATGAAATAAACGATGTTTTTAAAGATGTAACTAATTTAAAAGATTTTAAAAAGTAAAAAACTATCTACACAAATGCATACTTTCAATAGCCGCTCTTTTTTTATGCGTCACAGGTGTCATTTGATGCTCATTAGAATCTTCGTTTTTCGTTTTACGACCTCGACCAGTATGTTCTGAACAGAGTAATATTTACAATTGCATTATACTATAATTTTAAATACAAATATATAAAAAATAACCGACTTTTTTTTAAAATAAACTTTGTTAAACATAATTGAATATATATTTTTCCCTAAGATAAAAATTAAGTTGTTAAAAAAGAGAGTTCAGTAGAACTATTATATAAAAGTAGGGACATAAATAGACAGTATTAAAAAAACAAATATTGAAAATTTTATTAATTAAAAATGATATAGGAGTTGTACAGAAAAAATTTACAGGTTTACATTTACAGATAAAAATTTAGATTTCTGTATACGAATTAATGACAGCTGCTCCAAAAGAACTAATCTTTTTAATTCTTTTGTAGACAAATTCCGAGTTTCATTGGGTTCCTTAAGTCTTGAATATTTTTCAGATATTTCTGATGAAAAAGTCTGGGTTTCTTCATCCACCATTAAATGTGATATAGGTGTCTTTACTGTGCTCCTACCTTTAAATATTAGTTATTATCAGGGAAATTGATTTTAACTTTTGCAAAGAATAACAGTATATTGTGATATCAATAAACTACATTTCACAATTGAAATGTGATATTTGAACTCAATGCGTTATTAAAAACACATTATGCATTGAATTGAAAACAAGAGCTAATAAAAAGTCGATTATTTAATCATTTATATTTGAATATTTTTTATCCATAAAGTTGTAGAATAAATTCTTTGAAAAACGTATATCATAATAAAAGATTGTTATAAACACAAGTTCATACCTATAGTTTCGGTTTCATCTGAACTCGAAAAATCTGCAAAGCGTTTTGGTTTGATCTTGCGTCCACTGCGACTAACCACCTCTTTCGGCGATTCCTCACCTTGCGAATCTAAAGCACCTTCTGTCACTCTTGACGCATCATTTGAAGCTTTTCCTCTACCACGTTTTTTCTTTATTTCTGGAGTATCTTGCTGCATTATATATATTTATTAGATATAAGCTAGTATATGTATTTAATTTTATACTCACTTATATAAATATATATGTATAAAAGTATAAGGAACAATCGCACAAACTTTTTAAACTTTAAAAATATTTGTCGGCAGTTCCTAAATTTCTTTTGGAATACATTTAGCCAACAACTGTTTTCTTATACAGTATTGTAAAATATATGGTATTCCAAAACATTAGTTTGTACAAATAACAAAAGATAAATGTTGCTTACAGTAGGATTGGGTGTAGATGTAAGAACTTTCCTCTTTACTGATTTCTTTTTTTCTCCTTCGTCAATTACCAAGGAACCAGCTTCTATATCACTGTCCGCAGCACTGACAGTTGGTAATTCTGTTGCTTCAGCACCTATCAAAGTATCATTTATAATAATCCATTTTTAATTAAAAAATATTTAATCTATTTCGATTTTATTGTCAATATTGATAATTACCTTTAATAGCATCAATATCTGCCAAAGGTTTGTTCCTGTCATTTTTAAGTTCTTGTTCAAGTTGCTGTATACCTTCATGAAAGAATTTTCGACGACTAGGTTTGCCAAATTTTTCTTTGTTTTCAACATAGGTATACAACTCGTCAACTTTGCAAACAGCTCTGAAAGATTTAATATATTTTATAAAAAATATCCTTTAATAATATTCATAATAGAGAACTAGAATTATTGTTCATATTATAAGTTACTTACGTTTCTCCTGTACCATAAAAGTAAACACAATATTTAGCATTCTTGGAATTTGGATCGTTGACTTTTTCAACCTGCAAACAGATGAAGCAAGATGCAAAACAGATGAAGCCATATGTATTAAATTTTAATATGACAAACAGGGTACCTATCATGGAACATGTCGGAATGAATTCCGATCGGAATTATTTCGTTTTCCCTAGAAAACACAATAGAAATCTAGGAAGTAATTAAATAATTCCAATCGGGCTTGTTCCATAACAAGTGCCTAGAATTGACATATATATTCCTCCATGGAGAATACATTAAGAATATACTATTCTACAATGTGTTCTTTGTTTCCTCTCTCTTGCTTTTATCGTTTGCTTTTTTCTCCTTTGCAACCGTTTTATCGACAATTGTATTTCTTGTTTCTTTCGAAGTTTGTTAACTTTTATCTCATGCGATATAAAACAAAAAACTGGATAAGAAGCAAAAAAACAAGATGCAAAAAATTGCAAAAAACAAGAAATTGGAAATAAAAAGCACATTGTAGAACAGGCTTTATATGATGCATGTCGAGATATAATCTCCAAGAATACATATATAATTGACAAATATAGTGAAACATGGATAGAAATATAACTTACAATGCGCGTTTATTAGCGTGGATGATAACGTGCCACTTGGCGGATTATCGTTAATGTTATCTCGCGTTCTGGATGGATCCCGCGTTTTTCTCGCTCCTAAGCGAGAACCACGGTCATCCAAGACGCAGCCGCGAGTAACAAACACGATATGAGCCGCAACTTTTGAATAATTTACGTCACCACATCCCGCAATACCCCTATTAGTTATTCTTGGGGGATGATGAAATAACGCTGCGTCTAACATAACGGCCACCGGGACATTCGTCCAGGTAGCATCGCGTCTCAATACAAACTTACCTTGGCTGGCCATGGCGGGTAACCTCGAACTTTGGCGAATACCTTATCACCGGCCAAGAATCTTTTTAGCAGCTTCACCATGACTACGAATAATCCGCTATCGCGGCACCGATCCGCTTTATCGTGTTTTTGATCGTTAAACGTTGCAATAACGATGTGGCGTAGTTAATTTTGCAAACGCATTGCACGAAACACCGCAACAACCGCCATTTGCACGACAAAATCCAAACACGCAGCAGACACGACGCTCAGCTCGGATGGCGGGATTGGTCATGACGTCTACGAATGGCTGATCTACCGCGCAAAGTCGAGCAAAGCAGTGTTGCCAGTTGTAAGGAATAATTGATCTAGGCCGTGGTCTGATTCATGCTGACAACGCTATTGAGCATCGTTTGTCTTCGTTTAACATTTGACAAACAACTAGAGTCCTAGATTTATCAGAGAGGCGCAACCGGTGTTATGCATTCTGATTTGCTGTTGCAATCTAACCAATTGCGTGACTTGGCAGCCATTTATAGTACTAGTGTCATATTTCTATTTCATTTTATCTTATACATTCTATCTCACATTATCTTATACGTCTTATCTTGTTTGACATAGTTTAAAGCAGTTTCATAGCATGTCGGCCATGTTTAGTACTCTTCTTAGCACCTTTGTCATACTGACTTAAGCCGGTTGCGCCTCTCTGATAAATCTAGGACTCTAGTTGAAGTATGCGACGCGAACAAACCTTCAGTGAACTCAACTGTTGAATCCGCTGAAGGCGCCCATTAGCTATTTCGACCGCCATTTCGATTTAGTTATCTGTAGTTCAATAAGCGCTTAGTATTATTAACGAATGTCATTTGTCAATTTTACTACGTGATCCTTTCTGTCGCTAAAACAGGAAACAGCCGGTTTGAGTAGCTCAGGAAAATTTATCTTAAGTTCAAAAAATGTACACTAGTGTCACTAGTGGCTAGTGGTCTACTTTCTGTTCCTGTACTAGACTGTACTAGAAGTCTCTTTCTCGCTTTCGACACAAATATCAAACATACCTATTTTACTTTAAGTTCTAAAAGTGTACAGTACACTGATTCAGCCACAGAAAACAAGCCTTATTTTATAATAGCCTGGTTCATCAGCCTGCTCAGCCACAGAAATAGACCTATATATAATTATTTCTCAGTGTGAAATTGTGCATCATATTTTTAGTTTTCCGATACATGCGGAAAGACAAAAAAATTGATTTTAAAGCATTAGTCGTAATATCAATGATTACAAACGTGCACAAATTTGCAGCGATTATTTTACAGAAAATGATTATAATAATGATAAAAAAATAAAAGATTAAAGAAAACTGCAGTTCCATCTGTTTTTACGCAAAAGTAATAATATTTTGTAATGAGATATTTTGTATTAAAATATAGTTACAATATTTTATAAATATGTATACATAAAACATCTGATATAAATAAATGTTTTTTAATATGTATTTTTATGTACAATAGATTTTGTGAAAATGTAAAAAAAGACTTGATAGTTGAAATACAACATGACAAATGACTTAACAAGCAGTATTCAATGTGATGATCAAAATAAATCAATAAGTATTTATAAATGTATGATGAATACTCAACGTGATAAACAAAATGAATCAATGGACATCTTATACGAATTTCCAATGAATGTTCAAAATGAAGTTATAGTTTTTAGTGAACCAACACATGTCACAAGTCAACAAAGGTAAATATGAAAAGGCATTTTAATTTATAAATATTGTAAATAAACTTTTTGTTTCAGAAAACTGTCTAAAATTAATAAAACAGAAAAGATGTTTTTAAGAACTGGTAAATATAACATAGAATGTTTTAAAAAAATTGATTTTAGTGAGCAATCATGGATTAAATTTGCAAAATACGTTCATTATAATAGACACTTAAACAAACTTTTAGTAACAGAAAACAAACGTTTACAAGAGAATATTTTAGAAATGCAATCTGTAATGCAAACGTTAACAAATACAAGTTCGTTAACAAATAATGCCATTTGTACTCCGCAAGACGATGATGACGACATTGTATTACTTAATACTATATTATCTGATGAATATGTGAGAAATGAACAAAAACTTAATGAGCAGCAAGTAGCAAATGTTGAAGCAAAACAAGATTCTGTAAATGTTTATATGGATCATGATTATTTTATACGAATTAATTGGTACTTGACTGAATATGTTGAAATCGTAATTACATATATATCTGACTATATAGTTTCAACTGTTATAAAAAAAATTAATTGCCTTTTTTGTAAACAATTGCTCATTTCAAACAAGGCACATAAGGAATCAAATACATTTATTGATAAGCCGTATCAAGCATCATGTGATGTTATTGAAATATGCAAGACCGCAGAAAAAATTTTAAAACATAATCAAGACAAATTATTTAAAACTGACAATATATTAGCTGATTTAATATGTCAATCTTTACGCGCACTTCCTTCAAATATATTTAATATGAGTAAGCATATTGAACATACTGTTACGTGGTCATTTGATCACCGAAGTCAATTAATACAACTAATTTTAAAAAATTTTTTAAATGTGCGTCTTAAGCATGAAATTACATTTGTAAATTCCACTTAAAGAATACGAATGAAAAATAACAAACTAACATTTTTTTAATCTAATCGAAATTGTGTTGATGTAAAAAAATCTTAAAAAGTTTTTTCTAGTATTATTTGCTATTTATTATATCAGGATGTATCTTTAAATAGTGCCTACTAATTTTTTTCTACAACGCTCAAATTCGAAGCAGTTATTACCAGAGTAAAGCTAATCCAAATGGTGCTTCTTTCAATTATTCAGATGGGCGCACGTCCATCACGATAATTGCTTTGCTCTGTAATAACCAGAGTTGGCAGACTAATGTTTTTTTATTTTTTTTAAGAATAAATTTTTTTTCTTAAATATGTTTTTAATGCTTCGAACAGATGTATGCTTTAAACAGCTGTATTATAAAAAAACATGTTTATAACATGTTTTTTATCAACCTTGGTAATAACTGTTTTATTTAGCATTGTAAAAAAAATGGCTCAAGACTCTTTGATTTAATTTTTGATGAGAAATAACGCTATATGTATATGATTAGTGGGCGGTATTTAAGAAACACCTTTTGTATTACTATTAAATATGTTATACATCTGCAAATAATTATTGACACAATGCTCGTATGCAGATAAAGCGGACTAATGACTCCTGCACACAGAACGTGGCAACGCTTTCCGTGTAGCGGAAGTTGACTAATCGGTTCATCGTTTTTCCATAAAAATGGACGGCTTTTTCATAAAGGTATAAAATAATTTTCTGCTGCGCTAATTTCCGTAAGTGTTGCCGCGTTCTGTGTAGTTCACCTCTGTGTAGTTTTTCACTAGCAGCTATAGTATAATTTAAGAATACTGTTTGTCTTAATATAAATCTACCTCAATTTATCGAAATAAGATTAGTAAATTTAATGTTCCTGGCTACGAGAGTAATAGAAACTTATCTTCAGCCTATATTAGACTAAGCTAATCTGTAAGTTCAATCTTTGAAGACTACAATATGGTATATATGCAAGTGCATACATATATAGTGTATATTAGTAATTCAAGATTGAATTATTTAAAAGCAATGAAGATCCAGTTTCGACCGCAATAGGCATTTTAAATTTCTAGTATTCAATCTTTGTTTATTGGAATTAAAAAATTGTATACTGTTCAATTACTACAATAAACATACTTAAAAAAAAATGATGAGAGATCCTATCTCGCCACGCACTTGTACTTGACTACTATTCAGCGATCTTTAGTAATTAATAACTCGTTGACTATTGCAAAATTTGCAAAATACTAAAAGATTTTTCGATTCGGTTTAGCCTGCTTTACTTGCATATGAGCGTTGTGTCAATAATATTAGGCACTCTGTATATTTAAATGACACGGAAAAAGATCTTCCCGTAATGTTTTTACTAAAAATGTTATTTTTTTCTTAAACGGTCTAGCAGTCTAGCTGGATCTTAAGTGCTTGTATTTCTATGTTTCTCATGTACGATGCTATATGATATGAGTGTTTCTCATGTACGATCCTATCCTAAGATATAATTGTTATTTTTCCGTCATGGCTGTAAAAAACCTAGCTTGGCGTATTTAAGGCTGTGAATAAAGGATTGAGACTATGACGAAGCGAAATAAGCAACGATTTACGATTGGTTTATAAATTGTCCTTTACTCAGCATTCGGATACAGGTCTTTTTTTGTTCAGAGTCTAACAGTCGAATCGCTCTTCTCTTTGTTCACGAGATTACTCGCTCGTTCTCAATACTCTCTCTCTTCAACATCTTTCTAAAATAATCCAAATATTCTATTATATAATCCATATCATATAATCCAAATATCTATTATCCGTTATTTTAATTGTTACAAAATTTTATTATATATATTTTACTTAGTAACTAGATATCATATAATTTTTTATTATTACGACTGAATAATTTGTTTGCTGCTTGTTAAATCTTATAATACTTTTTTATTGTCAATTTTTAATTTTATTCTTTGCCTCATATATTATATTTTTATACTTTGCATTTTATTTTATATACTCAATATTATATGTTTAAAATATTTATGTTCTTTTTAACAGATACGAATTATTTTAATTTACAACTGATAACCGGAAGCATATATTGTTACCTGTTACAACGTTTACATAACTTCTAACTCATACTGAGCGAATTTTATTATATTAACTACTGTGAGTTTTATTATATTTTTGCTTGCGATTGAGAGCGAATTGTAATTTTTATATATTTTAAC